CCACGTGTCTAACAGGTGTGTTATCTCCTCCCCGCGAGTCGAGAACAATTAGAACGAATCCACCGTGAATCCTCTTCGAACTCTTCTCGGGTAAACAATGAACCGACGACATTCTCCATCAAAGCTCTGTGTCGAGCATCTCACCTCGCGAAAGAACAAACTGGACATTAAGTCATAACTCCTTCATCAGGAGCAATGACTTGGGGGGCTCCTGTTCTGGACTGGGCCTTCCCTTGGCCCAACTCCATTTGAGGCCCAATCCAATTATGTTGTCCAATCTTTGTTGGTTGATTCTGCCCTCGATACCGTCGGGTGGAAACTACTCCCCGCAAGGAGACACAACTCAACACACGGGGAGGAACCCAGTTACCCTTAGGAAGGTCACCACCGGTCAGGAGGACCTCGAGGTCACACTCCAATCCTCTCCTCAACCAACGATGATCCTATCACACGACCTCACGATCAGTGAGGGTATCCTCGACGAACAGAAGCACCTCACGAGCATCCTCCTCGTAGGGATGACTATCAGCATCCCCTGATATCACGGAGTCTTCGTGGCCCCAGAAAGATCGCATCCACACCCTCCTAATCTTGCAGAGGAAGTCATCCAGGTTGGGGATCACGTACGGGTCCCCACTACTCACGTAGGACCTGGCAGTCTCCATGTTAGGCCTGTTTGACCAGCCCAATGAGGAGACCTGGGCCCAGCGTTGGGGGCTATAAATACCCTCTTCTATGAGAGGGTCAGGTATTGAACATTTTCTTACTCTCATACTTGCTTGCTCATTCCGAAACTTACTTTGGCATCGGAGTGTCTTGCAGGTACCCCCACCTCACTCTCAACTTCTTCTCGAGCTAGCTGTGACGGTCCATTCTGGTCAGGTACGACCAGTAAGGGTGTAAGTGGATAAAAAACAAATTAAATCGACATTTTAAACTAAATCAAACCGAAATAAAATTGATCCTTTCTGGTTCAGTTCAAAAATCTAACCGAACAAAAAAAAATTGATGTGGTTTGGTTAGATTCTCGGTTTTAGTTTTTAGGAACGACAAAATTGATGAACCGGACTAATGGATATAATTACACTTAAAATCTTTTATTTTACCTATTATTAAACCTGAATTTTATATCGGCCCAATTATTCTCTATCTTTGTTTGCACTTCCTTCTTTTCATTAAAACACACATCTAAAATTCACAAAAAATTTCTTTCACTGAACTGTTGCTCTTACTACCCGCCATAATTTTTCTCTTTATACAGTTGTTCTTATATGTTATGACTGCATTTTTCGTGTTCAATTTCTCTTCATTAATTTTCATATTTTGTGTTTACCTTTTCTGTTTCTTCTTCAAAAAAATTCCTTCTTGTCTTGATATAAAATAATTTCGATGTGTGTTTGAGGTGTGAAACATGATAATTGCTGTGTGTTTTGTGATGTTCTATTTGTGAAGCTTTCAAATCCCTTATGAAGTTTCCAATTCCAAGTGTAAATTTTTATATTTAATAGTGAACTTATTACATGAGGCAATAGAAATCATGTCATTGTTTCGTATGGATTAAGAATAACTTGTAATTTGTTTGAAAAACTAGAGCATGAAATAAATTACATGAAATGTGTTATTTTAAAAAATAATAATATAAAATACACCAAAAAACACGATAGTTGAGAATATATTGATGAATATAATATTTGGAGAAACATCATAAACCAATCAACCGAGCCAAACCAAACCAAACCAAACTGGTTAGTTTGGTTCGGTTCCATTTTTGAAAAATGTTAAAAACTGCACCAAACCAATCCTATGGAGGTATCATTGGTTTGGACCTTTTTTTTTTTACCAAAAATTGGTCCAAACTGATCTGATTACACTCTTAATCACATGCACACCATTTTGTAATGTTTACATGTTTCATGTGTTCACCACATACTTGAGAAATTAACATGTCACCCCCTAAATTAAACATACCATCCCCAATTTTATTTATTCCAGTTTTGTTCTTGATGAGATAAATATAATTTTCGGACGAAATTTCCCGTAGAAGAGATTGAAACTTTCAATACTGAACAAATTTCTGGTACACCCCTGCCAAATTTCTGGTAGTGCATTTGAAATTTCTGATAAATTGGAAACTTCAAATTTACGTGGCAGTACCGGAAATTTGAGTTATACTGAAATTTCTGGTAGGTTATGTATTCAAGTTTTTTCAACGGTCGAGATTTTGCCGACATATTTAGAGGGTTCTGATTGCACTGACACATTTATGTGATCTAGAATGCATCATCATTTGTATAAATAGGGGGTTTTCAGGTTATAGGGTAAGACATCTCAAAAATGTCTCTTCTTGAGTATCTGATTAATGCAAAAGTGTATTACAACAGTTGAAACCCTGTTGTTGAATTCAAGATTCCATATGGCTCTGAATCCCTTGCCACCTTGAAAGAAATGTTGAATGGTTTGCTGCCTGATTCCGATAACAGAAGGGTGACAAAGGTCGAGTTTCGAGAGGATTAGATTGATACAAATGGTATGGTGAAATATAGCCTAATCGAGTTGAAAAATGATGCAGATGTGAAGGTCATGTGGAATCATTTCGTCGTAGGATAACTAAAGGTCTGATCGAGTTAGATACGGAGATCTGAAGATCCGCCGATGACATAATGAAGATGTTGAAACGTCCAGAGTCATCCGGTAGTGCATAGGTTTTCATGTTTAGTTGTTTTAAGGTTATGTTTGTTGTACTATGTTATGTTATATTCATCATCAAATCAAAATATATAATCGCCAAAAAGATTATGCAATAAATAAGATGTTTATATGTCACAAAATATACATATAAAACAACCATAATAAAATAAATCTACATAGACCCTCCACGGGCTATGCCGGCTCTACAACAGGAACAGAAACATGTGCCTCTGCGGCAGCTGGCTCCACAGCAGGAACAAAAACATGTACCTCTACAGCAGCTGGCTCCTCAATAGAAACTCTCAATCCCCGACAGCGGGGTGCGGAAAAATGTGCCTGTTGCTTAGCTAACTTTTTCCGGTGAGAACCAGTCATAGCACGTTGGCCAGAACGTAGCTCGGAAGCTTATGCCTTATCAGCCAGGGCCTGAGCTTCCGCTCTATCAGTTTGCATGCCCACAACAGTATTGTCTTTGCCCTTAGTCCTCACTGCAAAAAAAAAAGTTAGGAAAATATGAACCGCCAAAAATTTCTAAAATTTCGGTATTTTTCAAAAAAAAATTGAACTATCAGAAATTTCAAAATTTCCGGTATCTTTTACAATCCCGAAATTTTTTGAAATTTCTAGTATGAAAGGAAAATGTTGACACGGAAAATGTCAAAAATTCCGGAACGAAAATACCATAATTTTTGAAAATTCTGGTTCAAAATACCGGATATTTCGCTAATATACCGAAAATTCCTTACAGTCTCACTAAATTTTCGGTGTCGCCTTGATATTTTCAGTATCGCCACAGAGTTTTGAAAATTTCCGATTGGTCATAAAATTTGGAATTTCTGGATAATATTTGGATCGGATTAATTTGATATTTTTATACCATTTGGGAGGTGCCATTGTATAAGAGGGGGTGTCATGTTAATTCCCCACATACTTTATCAAAGAGGAATTAACATCTCATCCCCCAAATTATACATGTCACCCTCTCATATTTCATTATTCTCAAAATCTCCCTTTCACTATTTACTCAAAAAAAAATTACTATCGGTCAAAGCGGGCTAAAATGAAATTTTCGGTACGCTGACCAAATTTCTGGTACCAATTTTGGCGTATACCGGAAATACTTTGCGTTACGCAAATTTCCGGTTGAGAAAAACCAGAAATTTATTAAATTTTCGAGTGCGATTAACCAAAAATTTCAAAATTTCCTGAACGATTTCCAAAAGTCATTGCATAAATACGCAAATTTCCGGAAGGTAGCATAACACATGAAATTTCAAATTTCCGTATAATCGGAAATTTTAGTTCTGTATGAAATTTCTGATATGTCTGCATATGAAATTTTATGCATTTGCAGTCCAGAGCCGGCAGCTTCAGCTTCTTCTACGGATTCATGTACTGATGTTACATAGTTCTTTACCACAAATACCACATGTCTTCTATTGAATTTACACATTATTATTTGTTTGTCAACCTTAAATAAATTGATGAAGTTAACTAATTATATGTCGTTGGAAACAATATTGTTCTAATAATGCAAAAACACGAGAATCAGCATATGCAGGTCGCTTCACGCATTGGAAAAACTTATGTAAAAAGTGATTGTAGTTTTTTTTCTATACAAATATATATAACAATTATTCTATTTATATATTAAGTTAGTTAGTTAGTTAATTTACTGTATAAAATATTCAAATTAAAGTTAAAAATATAGAAGACAGTAATCGGAAATTTCAAATTTACAGTATCGCAAATTTGAAATTTCTAGTTACATGCATATGCATGCATACACCACAGTAACAAGTGGTAAATTAAACCAAATTTCTAATATTCTATCGGATATTTTGGTACGAAACGGTGACTTTCTAAACTCCAGTATTTTACAAAAACTTTCCGGTAAATTTGCCTATAATGGCAGAGTGGCATATATAATTTAAGAGATGAGATGTTAATTCCTCTTTATCAAACTTTGGAAATTTTTCTCACAACCCTCCACTATTTTCTAAATTCATTATTCTACAAATATCATAATTTTATATAAATGTATCTTACGATCTTAATCACTTAGTGTATAACTCAGATTTTATATAAATATCATAATTTCCATATATTCATTAGAAAAAATGTTGATAATTCTGTTAAATATCTAGCAATGTGCTCTGTTAAATATCTAGCAATGTGCTCTATAGGTGACACACCCTATGAAAGATTAGTTACAATTAAATAATCAGTCCACTACATTAATATATGTAGATTTATTCACAGATCAATCATATGAATACTCCAGTTTCAATTTTACAATTAAATGGAATCAATCATATGGCTGATTTAGCCATACTTCTTAAGTTGGTCAACATTTGAGCAGCAGCTGAATCTCTTGCTTCATGAGGAAAAGAACATGGATTACCCTCACATGAATGCTCAAAGTCCAATCCTTTAACTCTAACATTAGCTTGAAATTTGCCTTCAAAAATGTAAACATGCAAGTCATATATACATATATAAATCATCATTGATATAACATAAACACAATCCTCAATAATTCAATATTCACATCATCATAAAATGACAAAAAAATTCAAAATAAAAAACAAAGTCTTACCATCTGATTGAGATAATTTATAAGTTGGTAGGATCCAATTGTTTATATGACATATATCATCTAGTTCCTGCATGATCAAACATAATTTTTGAGTACTTGCATGGACGGATATTAAAAATTAAAACAAGTATTGATTAGAACATGTCTTGCCTGGCAAGGAGTTTGCAAACTGAGCACAGCCTCTGCCAATTTTTTCCTCTTAACAGATGGAAGTGAGCATTGATGACCCTCAGGATACTGACAAGTCCTTCCTTGATTTCTTAAACATGTATCACTACAGCCATCTATAATGGATTCTATCTTTAATTCCATGTCATCTTCTTCACCTACGTTTGTCAAGAAAACACAAGCAATTTAGAGTGACAATGAGACAGGAAAAACCTTACTAATAGAGGAAAGTAGGAGAGAAGCAAAATTAGAAGCAAGGATAAACGACAGTAAAGAAAAACATACCAATTAACCATTTATGAATTTTCATATTACACACAGCAATCGCATCCTCTATCGTTCGCTGCTGAAGAGTCTGCTCAAAGAAACTTAATCTTAGATAAATGTAAGAGTCCATAATAGAAATTCGCCGAATCCGATTTTAAAGGGATAAATATAAAATGATAACAATAGCAGTACAAAAATATAACACAAAGAAGCATATAAATTTGAACTGTAATCCAACATTATTATTGTTTAATATAAGAATAAGAGGTTTTTACCAGTGCATTCCTCTTTCGAATAAGAACTTTGATGGCAGTTTCTGACAATATCTTCCCCTTTGAAGCTATGAAAGTTCGGAACTTCTCAAGATCTGTGTTGGAATTATTTGCAATCAGGGTACATTTTTCTACGGAATCATTTTCAGAAGTGGTGTTGGTACAAATTTTATCAAAAGCAGATTCATCTTTGGTTCCACCCTCAGTGATGCGTTTCCTGGCTGAAACAATATTCTTTGCCTGCCATTTCAATGCCATGTGTGAAACATTCTTCCTGGCTGAGCCAATTTTTCTGAATGTGCTTGAATTACTAAGCACCCAACAATGTACTTGCATAATTTATATACATGGTAACCAATGAAAGATGCAATTTACAAGGGAGCATTTAAGTTAGCACTACTTCCTAAGATACATTGAACTTCTTCTACATTCTATACAATGAACTTCTTCTATATTTTTGTTTCCAACAATATATTATACTACTGTTGTCCCTAATTATAAGACCCTTGAGATTTTTTTGTCCCTTTTTATAAAACCCTCTTCATATTTCAATGTGTATTAATTATTTATTTACAGATATATCGCTAATTATATTACATTTTTTTTCTGAAATTTGTATTAAATACTCTTACACAAACATTAAATAATTCTCTCTCAAAAGGATAAACTTGTAAAATTATATAGAGTCAACAAAATTAATACTCCAACCAACTTTATTAGTTTATGTGATTTACTCTAGAGGATTTTATTTTTAAGGACGGAGGTAGTATATTGGAGAAACTTTGAAGCTGCTTTATTTTTTAAGAAAAATATTGATTATATTGGAGAAACTTTGAAACTGCTTTATTTTTTAAGAAAAATATTGATTACCTAAAACGGAAAAAATGCAGGTAGGAAAAACTTAGTTAAGAGATATAGGGTTGTCTCAACAACAAAAGAAATAGTCAAAACTCAATAGTCTAAGTAAACCTTTGGAGTCTCAATAGATTTGACTAGTAAGAGTTTACTTAATACAAAAAAAAATGTTTAAAACATCTACCACAGTATCTAAACATAATTTAATACTATTGGAAAAAGTTATTAAATGTTGTCTAAATATTCTAAAGTCACAAACAATTTGACACAAATATTCCAAACATGACATTTATAAGGATACACATGGAGTAATAATCAAAATCGTATGATAAAAGATAAACTTCAAACCTCGAGAGGGGTTGTACATTCATTTGAGTGATGTAGCACAGATGGATTTAGAACCTTTTGATCTTCAATATCGCTAGCATGTAAAGCTTTGACAATATTCTTGCTTTCTTCTTTATTTTTAGATGGAAAAACTCTAGAGTTGTCCACATCCATATCTTTGGCTTCCTTGACAGAACCACGCCGTTTAATTGTACTGCAACCATTGTTCTCTTTCTGATTAAGAGATTCAATAGTATTATTTGAGTGATGTTGCACAGATGTATTTAAAATCTTTTGATCTTCACTAGCATGTAAATTTTTGACAATATGCTTGCTTTCTTCTTTATTTTTAGAAAGAAAACCTATAGAGTTGTCCACATCCATATCCATATCCTTGGCTTCCTTGACAGAACCACACCGTTTAATTGTACCGCAACCATTGTTCTTTTTCTGTTTAAGAGCTTCAATAGTATCATTTGAGTGATGTTGCACTGATGGATTTAAAATCTTTTGATCTTCACTAGCAGGTAAAGTTTTGACAATATGCTTGCTTTCTTTTTTATTTTTAGATGGAAAAACTATAGACTTGCCCGTACCCATATCCTTGGCTTCCTTGACAGAACCACACCGTTTAACTGTACCGCAAGCATTGTTCTTTTTCTGATTAAGAGCTTCAATAGTATCATTTGAGTGATGTTGCACTGATGGATTTAAAATCTTTTGATCTTCACTAGCAGGTAAAGTTTTGACAATGTGCTTGCTTTCTTTATTTTTAGATGGAAAAACTATAGAGTTGTCCACATCCATATTCTGGTCTTCCTTGATAGAATCACACTGTTTAATTGTACAACAACCATTGTTTTCTCTCTGATTAATAGCTTCAATAGTATCATTGCATGGCTTGTTATCAAGACCAATGGATATGCCCTCACTACTTCTCAATCCTGTCACTTCAAGCTTCGGAAATTGTTTGTCTACCAGCTTTGAATCTTGCAAACTATTTGAGAATGTTTCTCTACAAAGAACATATTATGCAAACTAGTCATCTTTATCTTAAAGAAAGAGGTGTCAAAGAACAAAAAATGAAAATAAGAAATAATTTGAAGAAATCTATGTTACGTTTCTGAGACTTCAAATCATGAGGTCAGTATTCATTACTGTAAACTCACACATCAAGCATTTGCTTGTGTATTACGTATTAGGCTCATAACTGTTGTCAAGTTACATATTTTTTTAACTCCTAGGTTCTCATACTTATGAGCTTAAGTGGAAAAGCGATTTAAAATAGCAACACTAGAGAAATTTGGGATTTAAAAATTGCTAAAATACAGCCATACCAATCTAAATCAAGCGTCGAAAAAAGAGAAAGGAGAATTATACCAACCTAGAAAACCATTCTGAGATTATTTCAGAATAAGGAAGCACGTGGAAATACTCAACAACTGGGGTGACCGTCCAACTGCTAGAACTCCTTTTGACTAAAGGACCCCGGAAGCTATACAAAGAGGAGATATAAAATGTTATGGAGACTTGAGTTATCAGCCAATAGCAAAAGCATACAGATTATAACGAACCTTTGAATTAAATCTTTCATAGGAACTTGAATAAACCCCTCATCAGTCGACTGCGAGCACTTCATTATATAAAAGCATGAAGCTGTCTTCTCTTTGCTCTGGGAATACACAGTATAACTTCCCAAAAGCATAATATCAATACTATTGACACCTATATCGCATACAAGAATCATATTCAACTTTTATGAATCATAAAACACCTATTAAAACATAAGTTAAGAGATAATGATACAATAACTAAAAATACAATATGCGACAACAATAATTTAATAGAGAAAAATCTTAAAATATAGAAAAACGCAGAAGAATATCCCCCGATATGTGATTCTAATTACGAAAATAATTAAAACCATAGTACTATGCTTACTAACAATAGCTATATCAACCTTGCTGTAGAAGAAGGATAATTACCTGTTACTTCCTTTACTGAAGAATATCCAATTTGCAAAAATCCATCTTCATTAACATTTAACGCATGTTTTGTAGGCTTTTTAATGACTCTTCTCTTTTTGTATGCATGTTTGATTTCATTTGTAACTGCAGAATTTTGACCGGAAGAGGAAGAATCCACGTCTTTTTCAATCACAGACCATACCCCATCAGTGATGGAACTAAAAAGTAAGAAGCCGGCCTCCTTCTTACTGTCAACTAAAAGGACGGCAACTTTTGAAACGGGCCATCCTTCTATATTTAGAATATTTTTTGACGCATCTAGACTTGTGCATATATCACACGAACTCATGATCACTTTTTCCGTTATTGACAGCTGCTGTTCCACATCAACAAGGTCAGTTTGATCAGGCTTCTGAGTGAATTTCATATATGTTAACAAAGCTGGGCTCAGATCCACAACCAATTTGCAAAATTCCTTAAATGCCACAAATGCTAGCTCTGGATGCTGTTTTCTGTGGTAATAGTTGTACAGTAACACGACTGAATGCACCTGGTATGAAGGAAACCGTGATCAAGTAATTAACAATGAGATACCATATCATGTAAATGCCTATTAAAAGCGCAAAACAAGACTTGGTGAAGAGAAATTATCAATATGACCATTCATTTACGTTGCCATATATGGATCAAGGGATTGTGTGAAATATAGAGTGGTAAAAGGCTTGGGGGATTCATGTAGCTGTTCTCATCAACAGTGGATATTATAAGGGGACAATGGAAAATTCTATGACATGGACTTGATCATGTATTATTCCTCATCATAGGGAAAATATTATGTGTTCTCTTTCCTGTGAAGTAGGTCTCTAAGGTTGAACCATGTAAATGCTTGGTATTATCTTCCTGTCTCTTATTTGTTACTACTGGTTTATTTTCTGGTTAATTGCGCCTTGGGGTCATTGCCTCTACGGTTTTGGTTGCTTTCATTGGTTAAGAGTATTGTTTTTAATCCACTACACTCCAAAGAAAGAATAAAAACAGTATTGAACAAAAAAGGCCTAACTCAAACCAGTTCGGAATAATGACCTAGGTGTTAATATTTGGATTACAATAACAAAAGTGTGAAGATGAATGAAGAAACCTGTTTTGCAACTCTCTGCTGTTGAGATAGTGGAGGATCATCACCAGTAGAAGGTTGTGCCTGCAGCATCGGATCAACCAATTGTTCAAGGAATGCCCTAACTGCATCCACTGTAGGACACACATCTGTTACAGCCATTTTCCCCTTCGAATCCGTGAAAATTTGGACCTTCTCAAGATCTGTGTTGGAATTATCTGCAATCAGGGTACATTTTTCTATGGACTCAGAAATATTATCTTTGATTCTACTCGGAGTAATGTGCATCCTTGTTGAAACAACCTTCTCAACCTGCCAATCCAATGTCATGTGGCTGGATGAGAGAGAAGATATATTGGGAAAACCTTGAAACTGATATTTTAAGAAAAAGCCATCTCAACAACAAAGAAAATAGTCAAAACTCTAGAGTCTATGCAAACTCGTGAAATCTCGATAGACTTGATCACTTGACTAGTAAGAGTTTACTTAATATAAAAATAAAAAAAATAAATTGTTTAAAACATATCTACCATCGTAGTGGGAGAAAAGATAAACTTCAAACCTTGCTAGGGTCGTTACATCCATTTGAATGATGTTGCGTTGATGGACTTACGATTTTTTTATCTTCACTAACTTGTAAAGTATTTGCAACATGCTGCTGGCATTCTTCTTTAATTTTAGATTGAAAAACTAAAGAGTTGCTCATGTCCATATCCTGCTCTTTCTTGACAGTACCACACGGTGTATTTGAGCAGAAACCATTGGTTTCTTTCTGATTAAGAGCTTCAATAGTATCACTGCATGGCTTGTTATCAAGACCAAAAGACGTGCCCTCACTACTTACACTTGATTTTGTCACTCCACACGTTACGAGTTGTTTCTCTGCTGGCTTTGAATCTTGCAAACTATTTGAGAAAGTTTCGCTACAAAGAACATATTACACAAAAAGCCATCATTGCTTATGGAAAGAGGTGCAAAAGAAAACATATAATGGAATGAGAAATTGATAGAACACCTAGGCATATTCTAGAAGGGTGAAGAAGAAGAGAAATAAGATTTAGTTAGGATACTCCATGATTTTAGGGAATTTCTGTTATACTGTAAGAGGTAGGGAAGGGGATAAGAGGAGGCATTCAGAAATATTGTTAGAGTTGGTTGGGAGAGCTATCTCTTGTTAGGAGCTTTATTTCTATTTCCCCTATTTTTGAGCTCTTGAGCTCATCTTTTCCATTCAATAATATACAATTTCATTACTTTGATTTTACAGGTTCTATTCGAAATAATTTGAGGAAATCGATGTAATGTTTCCGAGACTTTATGAAGTCAGAATTTATTACTGTAAAGCAACCTACATTGGGCATCAGAAAAAGGGAAAAACAAGTTATACCAACCTAGAAATCCATTCGGAGATTACTTCGGAATAGGGGAGCACGTGGAAGTGCTTGACGACTGAGGTGACTTTCCAATTGCTAGAACTTCTTTTGACCAAAGGACCCCGGAAGCTATCCAAAGATGAGATATAAAATGTTATAGAGAATCACACACAAATGTTGTTGACAATTAGATATAAAATGCTATCAAAATGGAAGTTATAAGTCAACATGTACAGATTCATGAAAAAGTTTATAACTAGATTTAGAAGTGAAGACAATTCTTGGTATGCAAACAAAATCTATTTGACATTTCGTCGGATAAGGAAAAATTAATCCAACTGAATGGATGAAACAAAAAGTTTTCCCTATCAATGGAAAAACTAGACGCAGCCATGACACCTGAGTCATCAGCCCATAGCAAAACCATACTAATTATAACAAACCTTTTAACTAAATCTTTGATAGGAACTTGAACAAACCCCTCACTGATCAACTTTGAGCACTTCATTATATAAAAGCGCGAAGCTGTCTTCTCTTTGCTCTGGGAATACACAGTGTAACTTTTCAAAAGCGTTATATCAATACTATTGATACCTGTTCGTAAGGGAAATAAGAAACATTGATACAAGAATCATATTCGACTTTTATGAATCAAAAAACGCCTGTTAAAACATTAACTGAAAATGCAATATGCTACTAAGACAATTTGATAGAGAAAAAACTATTTACAATACCGAAAATATATTCTGATATTAACCTCAAAATATATAGAAAACATGAAAGTATACATCATGATATTTCATCTAGTCATGTTGACATCTTCCCTGGGTTAAATAAATTGGACAAATGAAAGAAAAACTTACACGGAAGAATATCCCAAGACATGATTCTACTTACAAATAAATTAAAACCAAGTCTATAGCTGCTAACAATACAATAGCTATAGCAATCTTTCTGTAGAAGAATGAGAATTACCCGCAGCTTCCTTAACAGCCGAATATCCAACTTCCAAAATCCCACCTTCATTTAGCCCATCTTTCGAGGACTTCTTAATGATTCTTCTCTTTTGGTTTGTACGTTTGACATCTCTTGTAATCTCAGAAACTTGACCGGACGTATCCACATATTTTTCAATCAACGACCATACTCCACCAGTAGCCGAACAAAACCGCAAGAAACAATTCTCCTTCTTACCATCAACTAAAAGAACAGCAACTTTCGAAATAGGCCATCCTTCTATATTAGGAACACTTCTCGACGGGTCTAGAATCATACATATATCATACGCACTCGTGATCGCTTTTTCAGTTAACGAAAGCTCCTCCTCCACATCAACGAGGTCAGTTTCATTACTCTTTACCGTGAATTTCATATATGGCAACAAAGCCGGTCTCATATCAACAATCAGCTTACAAAATTCCCTAAATGCCACAAATGATAACTCTGGATTCTGTTTTCTATGGTAATAGTTGTACAGTAACACAACAGAATGAACCTACACCATACACCATAATCATGTAATCAAACAGGAGCTTCAATTTCATCAGTTTCAAATAATCTTTGAATTGTCTTAACAAAAACTACAAAAAAAAAATTCAAATAAAAACCTGTTTTGCGATTTTCTGTTGTTGAGATAGAGGAGGATCATCTTGAATAGAAGGTTTTTGTGGCAGCATTGGATCAACCAAAACTTCAAGAAATGCCCTAATTGCATCCACAGAAGAACACACTTGTGATACAACCATTTTTGGAAAGTTTCACCTGCAATATATATACAAAAGAAGAAGAAAAAGATTGAAAAGAAGTTTCAATTTGAAGAAAAGTAGCATTGTACATTCATGTTCTAACAAAAGCGGAAATTCTGAGAGAGAGAGAAGTGATGTCACGCGCTTACTCTTTCTTTATACTTGTTGGTGAAGAACTCAAAATCTCTGAAACTGAAAGAAATTGTGTGTTTTGTCTTCAATGTCTAAAAGAAGCACATATATTTCTTGGCTTTTATAGATTAATTCTTTTAAGGTACATTTAATTCTATAAATCAATTTACTTATTAAATATATTTGCTTTATCTATTTATTTATTGAATTTATTTGAAATGTATAAAAGGAGATATTTTGACCACGTTTAAATTAATATTTAGAGGGTAACTTCTTTTTACATCAAATAAGTCTATGATACATTTTGAAAATATTTTAATAAATATTTATTTAACATGCATATGTAATTTTCTTTTTTTTATTGAAAAAGAAAAGATACAAAAAAGAGGGGAATAGCTTAGTCTAGAATGATCTAAGAGAATTTTTAAAACAATGCAGAGATGTAAACAAAAGCATAGATGCAAATCAGATAATTAAAGAGAGATAAATGATAACAATGTCACACAAGGAGAGATGCATGCAGTCAATAGAGATATGATGCAACTGTGATTATTGAAATATAAATTTACAGTAAGGTGATGTAGAATTGATAGTCATAATTACCTATTTGTGTGCAATATTTTTAATAATTATAAATAAAGCAACATATTATTTATTCGGTAAATATAAATTTACCTAATCCTATGCATTTAAATTTCGGTGTCCTTATGATAAAAAAACAATAGATCTTTTATTCTACAATATTGTGATTTTCAATTTTTTAAATGCTTCATAATAATAATAATAATAATAATAATAATAATAATAATAATAATAATAATAATAATAATAATAATAATAATAATAATAATAATAATAATAATAATAATAATAATAAATGGTATTGGGTTGTACTAAAAATAATAATAAGGGGACTCATAAATTTTGGTTCAATACACTAAAAAAAAACACTAATATGTCTATTAGTCATTATAAAGTATTAAGTCATCTTATTTTTAAGCAAATTCTCTTTCTATTTTCTTGATCATTTCAATCATTTCTCATTCTCTTTTACTGCCCTTTGTCTTATCTATTTCTTCTTCTTACTTTCACTCTTCTGTTTTTAATTTTTCATTCATCTTCTTTTTTCAAACAAATTACATACCGTTAATCTTCTCATTCTTCTCTACATTTATATGTAAATAAAATTTTGAAAGGAGGAAGCTTGAAAAACAGGTCAAATACTTATTTACAACTACTGATTCTCCACTTCTTAAAATTTGGGTGTCTCCTCGTATGTAACAAAAACAGAGAAATTAAAAGATCAAATCAAAATTAGATATCTTTTTACTTGTATTTAATATTTTAAAATTCAGACCGATCATCGATCCGATTAAATTATTAAATTATTTAGTTAGTAGTCGAATTAGTGGATCACTCGTGGACCGTATGAATTATAATAATATGAAAATATTTTTTTTCTTTTGTAATATAATTGTTTAAAATTTTGTTAGTTTAAAGTATTATTATATATAATATAATAAATTTTCTAATATTTTAAATTTATTATATTATTATATAATATGATTAATAATAAATATTTTTAGTGAATATTTTATTGTTGTAATTATATAATATATAATTTTCTTCTCGTTAATCAAATTGAACATCAAAAAGATTTACGCTGCATTTGGTAAAATTATAATCTTAATAATCTTGAAAGGTTAAATGTTTGATTCTTAAAATTTGACAAAATTTCATTTTTATAGTTTTAATATTATTTAGTAAATAATTAACATGATAATAAATATTAATAAAATCGGATTTTAAAATAGAAGCATCAAAACTTAAGAAAATGAAAATAGAAGATCAAAATTATAGTTAAGCTAAAAAATATCAATTTGTCGGATCAAAAAACACATTGGTTCACTGGTCTGACCAATGAATCGACCGGATGACACCAGTTTTTACATGATCAATTGCAACAATGGTTCGATGACCTTACCAGACTGTTCTATCCTCTTATTCACGATCTAACCGGTCTAATCGGCTGGAACGGCCGGGGTTTTAAAACTATGTTTGGGTTTGTAGTGTTGACAATCAATTTTCGACTAAGGGAATGAACCTAAAATTAAGGGGGTTTATCTTTTTTTCAAGAGGCGTGGAGTAATGGAAAGCAGCGAGATACGTCAAGCCCAGGGGAAGTCGTCGACCAAATGATCCAGGCGACGAAACCAAAAAGACTAAAGGCAGCTATCGACATGAACTAAGGTCGAAGAGCTAAAGAAAATATGCATATTGGCGGGAGCAGTTATCAACGAAACAAAGCCAGCAAGGACGTGGGAACTCAAACAGTCCCCACGAAGCCCAAACGTGGGCTAGTAACCGTCGACAATTACGTATTTAGAGTGTTTATTTAAGCAAATTCGTGTTAAGGGTCTCATTTCTTCATATTTAATAGCAATACACTCAAAGTACCCGCATCTAAGAGAGAAACGAGTTCAAGCTTAACAATGTATGAATGCTTCCATATTTAAATTCTTAGCAATTTACATCCTTTGATTTATTTACCTTGTAATTTGTCTTATCTTTTGCCCTTTTCTTTTATCCCTTTTTTCAACCCAAAAACACCTTAAACACTAAAGTCTGGAATTATTGTAGTCGATCCCGCAAGTAACCTCTAATAAGAGGCAAGCGGTTGTTTCACGGAGAAACAAATTGGCACATCTGATGGGACACATTTGTGTTTAAGTCTTCTTATTTCGTGCATGAAATTAAGAAGTGGTAGAAAAATGGTAGATTCTAGAACTTTTGAAAGGAATCAGAATCTGGGAGGAAATACCAGTGAGGCGGCGAGTGTAGGTTCCATTTTGGCGGTCGTATCTCCAACAACACCAAATATAATTACCACAACACAGCCAATAACTGCAAGATCAATGATGGTCACAATTGTTGGGCCTTATGAGCCTAGTTTCACAAGAGAAACACATGAGAGTGTGGTTCCAACTTCTGGGAAATATGTGCCTAGTTTTCCCAGAAATATACATAAATATGGAATGCTGACATTCGGCAAAAGCTCTGCGTTCCTATCGTATCGCCCTCTGAGCTGTCGGGAGGCTAATTTGGGCATTCAACTGGTTTAGGTTTCTCTAGCCAAATTATGCCTACTTTCACCCCGAGTATGGTTGTTGTTATGAGGTAGCATATGGATGAAATTAACCATGAAATGGTTAATATGCTCACTCAACAAATGAGCCTCATATTGAGATCATTAATTGAGAATTCAGTCCATAGTTATCAGACGTTAGCAGCACAGATGACTCGTATAGGAGAATTTCTTGGTGCTCCCAGAATGCCAGTGCGATAAGCTACACCTCGAGCATGTAAGGTACCATTCCAATATGAGGAGGTGTTGGACGAAGAAGTCGAACAAGATCCACCGACTCCACCACATGTCGACCTCATACTTAGGGTAGTACAACAACCCCCCGATAGTGGTAGCAAACCGAAACCAGAATGCCGACTAATTGGCAGGCATGTTCGACAAGAAACAATGGTTGGGAGAAAAACTTAGAGGCCATTGTTGAAAGATTAGTGGTTAGGAATGGGATGAATATTGGCTGCCGGAGGACTATATATGTTTCTCCATTGCTAAATTTCATATTTCAAATGGATTTACCAAGGGGTTGTGTAATACGGTAGGAGAACTGACTTTTACTGGTTTTTCATTTTATCGCAATGTTGCGGTTATCAAGAGTCACCACCGACTTTTCTTTTATCCAACAAAGAAAAGGGTGAAAAGAACAGGAAAGACCTTTCGAGATTTTTTTCTGGGTAAGGGGGGTAGGTTATGGAAAGGGAAGGTGTTAGCACCCTTTCCATCTGTAGTTATCTACGAGCTATTAGTTGCTAGCTCACTTTAAAATGTTTTTTTATGTAAGTGTATTTGAAAAAGATGCCTAAGTGCGGCGAACTTTGTAATGTTTCTCGTTTCAGAGAGTTCGTATACAAAGTGTTTTATCTTTGAAAATATTTTAGAGAAGAGTTTGTGTATGTGCAGAAAAAAATTTGTTTGTTTTTATGAGCAAGCAACTAGGAGCTTTCTACCTACTTGAAAGATTTGTGCTTTTCCTCTTTTCCTTTAGATAGTGATATCCTACTGTGATACGGTGGCAGAACCGACTGTTTTTACTGGTTTGTGTTGTGTTTTTTGTTCGCAAAATGTCGCGGTAAGCAAGAGTCGCCATCGACTTTTATTTCATCCAATCATGGAAAAGGAAAAAGAACAGAAAAAACCTTTTTTCGAGATATTCTGAGTACGGGGGGTAGATTATAGAAAGGGAAGGTGTTAGCACCCTTTATATCCATGGTTTTCCATGGGCTCTTAGGTACTTGCTCATTTTTTCAAATTGCTTGTGTGTGTTTGTCTTGAAAATGTTTTACTTCGTGATAACCCTTGTATCAGTCCTCAAGGATGTGACGAAGTTTGTTTTGAAAATCTGTTTTTGAAAGGTGTTTGTGTGAAAAGTTTTTATTGAGCAAGTACTTAAGAATCTACCTACTCGAAAAAATATCGTTTGTTCTCGTTTCCTTTAGACAACGCTATCCTACTATTAAGGAGTATGTAGCACCGTCGTTGGAGTTGTAAGGGACATTCGAAAGAGACAAGTGCAATCACTAAAGCAATAGTTAGAAAACTTTAGTAGTAACCCTAGAGTCTTAAGATCTTTCTGAGGCAACATCTTCAGGGCAACACTCGAATGGGACAATTTGATCTTTTTATACTGGAGGACAACCACTAAAATCTCATATGCTTAATGACTATTTTACCGAAGGCAACCGAAGTGAGGTAAACCCTAGGAGTGAATATGTGCATATGAATTGTTTCA